CCATCGACCGCAGGACATGAGAGCATCCCCACCCGTGGGAAGGGTGTCATGGCTCTACCTCCCTCCTGAGCTGCTTCTGGCATCAGAATCTCCATGGAACTGCTTAAAGGGGAACTTCAGACTGAATAAAAAATAAAAGGGAAGGAAATAGAGCTGTACCAGCAGCCCCAGACACGCCGGCAGCCTCTGGCTCAGGAAGGGCACCGGCCACACTCCCATCTGCTCCAGAGCCCGGGGCAGACACAACCTCCCACCTCCAACACTCCTAAATTAGAAGTTTGCACCAGATGCTGCCTGACATCCCACAGATTCACCCAGCCCAGCACATCCCTGGGGCTCAGCTGGGGCCAGGCTCCTCCAGAGGCAGCTCTGGGTGCTCCAAGCCAAGCTCCAGAATAAAGGAGGGCGGTTGTTGGGTTTTTTTGTTTTTTAAAACTAAACCTCCAGGAATAAGGAGCAGATCTCTTGTTAGGGGGAAGAAAGTGAAGCTCCTGATGGCCTGGTTGGGGGTATGGAGCAGCAGGATGTGCACTTGGAGCTGAGGAACTCCTCTTGGCTGGAGGAGAGGAGCTGCTGTTTATATGGTGGGAGCTGGACGAGACGAGCTCCTCACTTGGCCGCGCCACCGCCAGCTACCTACCACCCTCTGCCTGGGGAAGGGCTTGGATGAGGGCCACAGCCTTCACTTCAGCCTCTCTGCAGACACTGAGAAGCCCATTCTCCCTGCACCCTGCCTGGGACACACACATAAATGCATTCCATGGGGGATGCTCACTGGGCAGCTCAAGGGACTCACCCAGGGACAAGGAAGATGGGGGGCTCAGCATCCGCCCTCTGACATCCAACAAAGAGGAGAAGGATGGAAACTTTCTCCCATTTCTCCCCAGACTTGGCCCAGGCTCCAGCCCAGAGGCGGCTGCACGCATCCAGAGGTGCTGACTTCCCAGGAATGCAGAGGAAGGCAGCAGCATCCAACAGGCTCCAGGCGGGATGGAGGAGCGTGACGGACCCACGGAGGCCACAGTGGGAGCAGTGAAGGCCCCTTCCCAGGACACAGTAGGCAAACACCCCCCCTGGCAGTGCCATGCCCGGGCACTGCTCTGGCCCTGGCTCCTCTGACCACCCCCATCTGCTCATCCACCAGAACCACAGACCCCCTGGCCAGCAAACTGGTGTGGTGGCCACCTCCAGGGGTGTGAGGTGAAGTGCAGGACACCCCTGACATGTCCCCATACACATGGTGCTTCCAGCACAATTGGCTGAAGACTTATCAAATTTTTCAAAACTACTAAAGAAACTCCCGGCAAAAAACAGATCAAAGATCCATAGATTTCTCTTCCCTTGTTTCTCCAGCACCACTCCCAGTATTACTTCCCTAAGCAGTGCCATCGCTCTGGAGCGGGATCCCAAATTTCACCAAACCCAAGCACATCCACACCACTCGGGGCAGCCCTTGGTGTCCCACAGCTTTTTTTGTTAATTGAAATGATATTTCCCATGAAAATCCCCCCTGGGTGTCCTTTGCCTCATGCCCAGCACTCCCAGACCAGGCATTACTGGGGTAAATGGGGCCGTTACTGCAGAGCCCAAGTCTGGATTTGGGGGGAGGAAAGGGAAAGGCTCAACCTCCCCACTCCCATCTCAGCACCATCCTGCAAACATGGCAAGTCCCATTTCCATCCCAGTTGTGACATCACAAGGAGCAGTGCAGGACTGAGCAGTGGGATGGGGATGGTACTGGAAAATACCCTGTGCCCCCTGCAAAGAGCCAACCCTTCACTCCTGGGCTAAGCAGTGCTCCCAGGAATTCACAAGGCAATCCACTAATCATTTTCTAATCCTTAATTAACTAAAGATGGGTCCTTTAAGAACAAGAGCATCTGTGTGGCTCTTTTGGGCTCCGAGCAATCTTAGGAATGACAAAAATGTCGATGCTCCGCAGGCTCCGCACGGTTCAAATTAATTAAAATCCTGCTCCTCGGCCGCACGTGAGGAACCAAATCCTACAAATTGCTTAAACAACCTTGGAGAAACGCTGGGTCGGGATGGGCTGGAATGGGTGGGTGGGTGGGTGGGAGGGCACTGCTTCCACTCCCACCAGGGATCCATCCACACTGGTGGAGCTGAGCAGGGCACAATGATCCCCTGGGCAATGATGAGACCTCCAGCAGAGCTGGGCAAAACCCTTCCCTTCCTGCTCCGAGCACCCACTGAGGCACCGGGATCAGAGTCTCCCGTGATGGATTTATCAGCTGGAAAAGATGCTTTAGCAGACAGGAATTACACCCCCTCAGCAGACATTTGCTTTGATCTGGGGGCAAAAAGTTTCCCTGGAAAACACTTAAGGAAGAGGGAATGCAGCAGAGTGCCTCTGCCCTGCAGGGAAAGGTGCAAAATCCAGCCAGGAATAAAGCCAGGGAGAGAAAAACCTGCAACGTGGCTTTAACCATCACCAGGACCTCACGCCTGAAAATGCCTCCACACGTGCCCACAAGGAGCACCTTCCCATGGGAAACCTCCCAGGGCCCCCCCACCAGCAGGGTGGCTTTGGGGGAAGGGGACAGCTTTGCTCTGAAGGTTAAAATAAATCTCTTTTGCTTCTCACTCTTGTCGTTCTTGCGCAAGAACCGTCCCTGGCCCCGCTGCCGCTTCCCGGCTGCTGCTGCAGGCGCCGGCGAGGTCCCCGCTGTCCCCTGCCAGGCTCTGAGCAGCAAAGCCACCACCTCTGTTCCCCTTTCCTGCTCCCAAAATAATCCAAAGAAGACCGAGTTATAATTTCTTGGGGCTGCATTTGCCGTGCAACAACCTATTTCCATCAGAAAGATGAAAACGGGGAGGGGGGAAATTCATGCAAGGGCTGCTCTGTTTTTTGTAAATTCTTCCCGAGTCCCTTTCGTCCCCTCCCTCGATGCAAAGCCCACACGGCAGGTCCCACGCTGGGCACTGGACAGGTGGGAAGATGATCCAGCAGCAAATCCCAGCATCCACACAGGGACCTTGTCCTGCCTGCAGCCACATCGGGACAGGAGCTGCTGCCTCGGTTTCCCCAGGATGGGCACAAGGGGCAGTGGGAGGTGATATCCCAGCAAGGAGCCCCAAACCTCCTGCCAGAAGAACCACTCCAGCTTTCCTGGTGGAGGAGATTTTTTCCCTGGAGGTAGGAGTCTGGCACAAACCCCTCGAGGAAGCAAGAGCTCCCCACGGGAAGCAGCGCTGCCTGGCCAGGACAGACACTGCCGGCGGTGTCCTTGCAAACAAGGGGCTCTTGGGACTACTCCATCCCCATCCCAAAATCCCCGTGAGGATCCTTCCCGAGCTGCAAACCCAGCCTGGTGCACTGGATGTGGCACTTCCATTGGTGCCATCCCTGACCCCTTCACTCACTGGGTTGGAGCCAGGGCTGATGGTGGGGGGAGCAGCCAAAAGCGGGGATGGGGATGGGGAGGGGGACGAGCTGAGGGTGCTCAGCACCAGCAAGGCACGAGTGACTTGGCCCTGTGGCTGGAGGCCTCTGAAAGCCGCCTTGTTCCTCTCCCAGCCCCTGCACGGGGTCGGTTCCCACCCCGCTCCCGTCTCACCTCCAGGACAGAGGTGCCTCTGTCCTCGGGATCGCCAGACCTGGATCCCACCGACATTTTTTAGGATGAAACAGCCAGAACCGGCCCTCAGAGGTAGCAAAGCCCTGCTGAAATCAAGCAGCCCCCTCAAAACCCACAGAAGGAGGAATTCACGGCCCTCAAGTAAATTATGGGGAGGTTTAACAGGAATTCAGCTGCGGAAAGTCGACGGCTCCTCCAAGCACCTCGGGGCACGGGGGTCTCCTCATCACCTCCTCCTTTCTCCACCTCCCTGACCAGCAGTTTCTCCTCTGATCCCAGGACGGATCCCTTGCCTGGCATGGGATTGCTGCCCACCGGCACCGTGTCCATGACTCCTCGTTTTCCCCTCGGGATGCTCAGCCCCAGGCGCTGCGGGACTGGGGGGAGAGGGGAAAGGGAGGGCAAGGGGGGAGGAGAGGAGCAGTGCCCTCCCGTGCTGCCGCTTCCAAATCTGCTTTGGATTTGCTAAATGTGCTCTAATAAAATAGGCCAAGGGTTTACTGTTGTTATTTTCAGGCAGAAGTAGCCAATTCTGCTGCTTTTTTTTTTTCATTTTTAAAAGTTTTCTCAATGGGGCCAAAATAATTCAAGGAAGCCCCAAAAGCAGTTCCTTGCTTCAGGGCTGGACTATCCCGGGATAAAAAGTGTCTCAAATGGCAATTCCAGGGGCAGTCCCAAGGAGCCTCCGGTGTCTGGTTCACGGTGTCTTCAGAAGGTTAAAAAAAAAATACAACCCGTTGACTTTAGCGTGAGAAGTTACAAAAAGAAAAGTTTGGAAAAACGCACTCGGGCCCCGGGGGGGCACTTTTCCATAGGATTAACACGTCGGGAGAGGGGAGGGGGGGTCAGGATGGGAGAGGGAGGAGACCTCCAACAAACCCCTTCGGCCCCTTCCCGACCTCCCCCTCCGCGAACAGCCCTCCCCGGGGAGACAAAGGGCCGGAGCGGGGCTGGGGGTCGGCGGAGCCTCCCCCGGACCCCTCCCGCGGCCGCGGAAGCGTTTCCGCGGGGCTCGGCGGGCGCCGAGCGCGGGGAGTTTTACACCCGGAGCGATAAAAAAGCGAGCGAAATACGCGGCGAGAAAACACGGCGAGAAAACAAACGCGGCGCGGCCGGAGCGGAGAAAACAAAACGCGGCGGAACGAACGGCGAGCGGAGGGGGATGGAGGAAAACGAACCGCGGCAGGAGCAAATAAAACATCCCGCGAGGAAACAAACCGGAGCGATCCCACTGGCGATGGAACGAGGCGAACCCCCCCATAACCCATCCCCGCCCTGCGCCCGCCGCCGGGGTCCCGCCGCCCCCCGCCCGGCCGGGGGGGTCCCCCAGCCCTCCCCACCCTTTTTCCCCCCGGGAATGGAGCTCGGGAGGGGGGCGAAGGGAGGGGAGCGCGGTCCCACCTGGGTGCGCAGCGCCGAGCACCAGCTGGAGGCCGAGGAGGCAGCAGAGGGGGGCGCGGAGGGGGGGGCGCGGGGGGGGGCAGAGGGGCCGCGGTCCCGCCGAGCCGCGCCCCATCCCCATCCCTGCCCGCTCCGCTCGGGCCGCGCCGCTCCTGCCGGGCCGGGGGCGGGGAGGGGACCGGGGGATGGGGGAGGAGGAGGAGGAGGAGGAGGAGGAGGGACGCGAGCGGGAGAGGGAGGGGAGGATGGAGGGGGGGGAAAAAGTTAAAGAAAATAAAATAAGCGTGCGCGGCCGGGCTCAGACACTGCGTCAGCGGGGCCCGGCCCACGGCGGGACCGGGGGGCGGTGGCCGGGGGGTGCCGGGACAGGGGGGGCTCCGCCCGCGGCAGCGCGTCCCGGGGGCGGGGGGTCCGGGAGTGAAGCTGCGGGAGTGGGAAAAGGGGTGCCCAGCCTGGCCAGGGCATCCCTGCAGACCCCCGGGAAGGGTGGTGGGGTCCAGGGGTGAAGCTGGGGGGTTGCCCGGCCTGGCCAGGGCATCCCTGCAGACCCCCGAGGAGGACGGGAGCGTTTGGGGGTGAAACGCGGGGGGTGGCAAAAGCAGAGCCCAGACTGGCCAGTGGCAGGTCCCTGCAGACCCCTGGGGAAGGCGAAGGGGTTTGGGGATGGAGGGAGATCCGGGCATGAAGTGTGGGAGTGGCAGGAGCGGTGCCCAGCCTGGCCGGGGCATCCCTGCAGCCCCTCGGGGATGGGCTGGCTCCCTCCGCAGAGCGCCCACGCGGCTCCCTCCGCATCCCGGGTGGTCCCGATGCCCCGGACAAGTCAGAGGGAGTGTGGGAGATCCCCGCGGTGCCTCCAGCCCCGCAGTGTGGGACCCCATCTCCGCCGGGAAAAACAGCCAAGGGCTGCTGTGAGCTCCTCGCTTGCACCACTGGGTGCCCGGCAGAGTTATCTCATCCCAAGCCCAGCCGGATCCTCCTCCCTCCATCCCCGTGGCACAGAGCTGGGCAGCTCCCGGCTCAGCCGGGGATGAGGACGCTGAGGCCGGACACAGCTCATTGCACCTCCCACCACCCGGCCCGTCCCTCCAGCCGTGGGGTGCAGGGCTCCAGCTTCCCAGTGCTCTGCTGAGGGCACGGGATGAAGTGCAACCGCGGGATCCAGTGGCAGCAGATATAGCCCATATCCAGGAGCTGAGTATAAAAGGCTTTTTTAAAAAAGTTTTTAATAACTTTTAAACTTTTGTTTTCACACCTCCACTTCAGCAGGGCTGCCCAGGCCCCCAAAAGCCACCCCAGGAAGGCAGTATATGTGGAAAACACTGGGAAATGGTATATTCCTGGCTTTCTACATCCACAGGGCTGCACATTTCCATGCAAGGCACCCCACTGCAATGGAAGCCGTGTGGGCACCACAGATTCCTGCTGTGGGGTTTCTTTGGTGCTAAAACCCATTTGTACCTTAAAACCATCAGCACAGACCACCACAGCTGCTCACACCTTCCCCAGGTCTGGGGTAACAGGTCACCCCGAGGCACCTGCAGGAGGTTCAACATTGCAGCTTGCTTGAATCAAATAAAAGCCTCAAATCCCTGAAAGCTGCCAGGAGAGGATTCCCATGGGGCAGCCAGGCACTGCCCAGCTGGGTATCCCCCTGCCCAGCTGCCATGGAGCTGGATCTCCCCCATTTCTGGAGCCCTCAAGAAAGCTTTGAGTGGAGAGGTGGGAACACTCGTGGCACAACACAAAGATTTGGCTTCGTTTGGGTGATGTTCACAGTGCCCATCCTTGTGGGAGCACCTCTGAGCTTGCAGGAGCCTCACCACCTCCTCGAGTCTCCTGGGATTTGAGCAGTGCAGGGAAGGGGATGTCAGACCTCAGCACAGAGGCTCTGCCATCCAAGTTCAGGGGAGATGGTGCTTTTAATGAGGCCAAGCTCCCTGGAGCAGGGGGCAGGATCTGGCCCTGAGAGTGCACAACCCAGGGGACACATGTGAGCCGGGCACCGGTTGTTTGGCTGTTCTTAGGAAAATAAATGAATCCGTTGTTTCCCAGCGAGGCAGGAAGGACCCGCAGGCCGGTGCCAGGATGGGCTTTGGGGATGTAAATCCTCCGGGGGGGCCAATTAAGCACATCAGCATCTGGGCTGTTGGTTTTTTTTAAGGCAAGGGATTATTTTTTAATTGTGGCAGCACTGGGAGAAGGGCCCCGCTGGCTTCCACGGCTGGATACACACCGGGAACTGCCACAGGGAGCAAACACGGCCTGGAGGAGAGGAGGGAATCGCCCAGATCCTCATTCCCATCCCTAAACCTTGGAGACCACTCTGGGGGTGCCACCAGGGGTGCCATCAGGACGTGATGGAGTTGTGAAGTCCCACGAGTGGGACCCTCTGTCCATCCCAGACAAACCTGACATTCCTTTCCTGGGAGCTGAATCCCATCCAAAGGAGGGGACACAGCAGAGTCAAAAGGCTTTGCATCCCAGGGAACATCACAGCTTCCTGGCCTGGTTTATCCCGTGTCTTGGAGGCCCCTGTGCTGCGTGTGATTAGAAGATAATTAGCACTTCTTAATAATTAATTCCTTCAGTGCGGGCCAAAGGCTCCTCACCTACTCTCCTCCTAATCCGGTTTAGTACCAGTTGAGTTGCTACTCGTCGGAGTGGATCGGGAGGAAATGCATTTTTCCCTTCCCCTGGGACGTTTCCAAGCCGTCTGACCCCTCTGGCCCTGACGAGTTGCTGCCAGACGAGGGGACGTGGCCCGTGCAGGGGACGGCCAAGGCTCTCGGGAGAGCTCCTTGCACTGATGGCAGGGACAGGCTCATCCCAGGATTACCCAGAACTTGGGACACAGTGGCAGTGGCTGATTCCTGCAGTCGGACCATCTGTATCTGCCTCTTAGTTGGAAAAATAAAAAGCTGTTTTTTGGCTAAAGCAAAATACAGCGTGGGGAGGGGTCACAATGGAGGGGCTGCAGTGGGATGGGGTGAAACAGCACCGGCTCCGGTGAGAGTCACCCCGCAGAAGGACGTGGAAAACATTTCCAGACGTGGATCTGTGCCACTTGCCCAACTTTGGCTGGAGGTCTGGCCTGGTCGGGAGCACTGGGAGGAACCGGGTCAGTCTGGATGCTCAGCAGGCTGGAAAATGTGTCACCAACACACCAACACCAACCCAGCCATGGGGGTGGGGAAGGACCCCCAGACCTGGAGCTGGGCTGCTCAGTGGCAGCAAGGCACCCTGGGAGTTATTGAGTTTGGGGCTGACATGGGGCACATTTGGTGTTTGCTTGTGCCAGAGGCATTAGAGGGCAGGATTTGGAGATCTGTGGACCACAAGAGCAGTGTCCGTAGCTGCCAGATGCTCCAAAGGAAGGGTCTGACCACCCCACCAGCCACCTCTGAGGACCGGCAGGTCCAAAGGGTCTATTTTAGAGCCTGGGGAGGGCATGGGGTTACATCATATGACCAGAGAGGCTGCATGTCCTGCTCAGTTGTGCTCTTCCAAGGGTATTCCCCCCATCCCATGGCTCTCCATGGGACTGGGGGCTCCAGGAGAGCAAAGCTCTGTGGGCAGAGGGGCTCTGGTGCCAGGGGCTTGGCTTTGCTGTGCCAGTTACAGCCGGGGACCAGCATCACCTGCCAGGCTGTGCCTTGAGCTCAGCCTCGAGCTCAGCCCCGAGCTCAGCCCGGTGTCTGCAGTGCCTCGGCCTCATCCTGGCCCCAAACGGGTCGGGCTGGGCCAAGATCAACACCCACCTGGCAGGCGCCGTGCGCTGAGGTCACTGCCTGGGGAAAGAGGCCGACTTGGCGTCCGCTGCCTCCTTCTCCCCCGCGCCGGCAGCGGCAGCAGGGAACGGCCACGTCGCTCTCCCAGACAGGCAGGAACAGCCCAGCTTCCCCCCAGCCTGTGCCAGGCTCTGCATCCAGGGCACAGGGTGGTCAGCAGCCCCCGGCTGGACTCGGTGGGGAACCCCCCTGGGGGCACGGCAAAGGACTCATCCCCAGAGTTTGCATTTGCATCCTTCCCTCTGAGGACGAGCCTGGGCACACCGGGCGGGGGCTCAGCTCCTCCACAGCCCTCGGGGTGTTGGTGGCCATGGGGTGACGCCGAGGCTCCCGAGGGTTCGGTTTTCCCAAGAGGGGTCTCGGTGCTGGTGGCCGGGGCTCTGCCGAGCAGGGGGTGTCAGGGAGAGCTCCTCGCCTGAGAGCTGACAGGGTTTAGGATCAGCCCCGGCTCTGCTCGACACTCAGGTGCGGGTAGAGGGATCCCGGCCAAAATGAAGGGCCGTTTCCCTGCCTCCAACCCAACCGTCCCCTCAGCTGTTGCAAGGAGCAGACAGGGCTTTGCCGGGGTCGGTCAGCCCCAGCCCCCCCGGCCCCCTCCCCAGCTCCGCTGGCTCCCAGCACTGGGAAGGGGGTCCCTTTGCGGGCGCCCCACGCTGCAGCTCTCGGAGCTCTTTGCTGCTCCCTCTTCTGCGGCCCTGAAAAGTCAGGCAAGTTCAAGCTGCAAAATAATTTATTAAAACCAGATGTGCTCGCTCAGAGCTGCCATGAGGAATTTCAGGGCGCTCCAGCGCTGGGAGGGCCAGCGCCGAGATCCTGCCCTTCCGCCGCGGGGGCGAGACGGGGCCGGGGGCTGCCCGGGGAGCAGCGCTGCCCTCCCAGCCCGCTGCCTCTCCTTCCTGCCCGGCCTCCCCAGGGCTCCTGGAAAGGGGCAGTGAGGAATTCCAGCCATTTACGAGAAATTCGCCTTTTAGAAAAACACTTTCTCTGCATGACTCAAGAGCAAGTCAGCAGAGCCGGGGCTGCAGAGCGGGGAGGGAAGGCAGCTGGAGAGCGGCGGAGGACAGCACATCCCGAACGGCATCTTCCTCCTGCTGGAGACTGGGATGGGACCAGGGAGCAGAGATCTCATCCTGTTCCCCGGCCCTTTCCAGCAGGAGCAGAGTGGTGCTTCATTTCCACCTCTGCCACTGCCTTACCTCATAGCCACGGGCACGTCCCTTCCACCTCCATCCCTCAACCAGTTCCTTTAGCCTGGAGGGGCTTTGGCACCAAGCCCAGCTGCTCTCTTGGGCTTGGGTGGGAGCGGGTGGATTTTTAGGATTAGCAGGAGC